GATAATAATGATTTACTGTTACAAGTACTACTATTTAATCCTTAGCTGAGGTGAGAATAGGTGGATTCATACCTTTCCCAAAAGCATTTTTACATGAATGAATATAAAAAACTTGACTGGAATTGGAACTCAGCCCCATGACTTCCAATTCTGATCCATTATCGATTACACCAACTGCATATCCAGCATTATAGCACCTAGTATTCACAAACGGTCACGCATCTAGGTACTGACTAGGGTTGACTCATTGGAGTACCAGTGTTTCAATATATGGCTGTAAGCCTGTGCAAGAGAAGAAACTGTTAGAATAGAACTTACTGTTTTATCTAGTCATTCAACTGTAAAATGATGAGACGTTGGCATCAATCTAGCACTGCACTTTAATTCATAAATTCTACGTACCATAGAGAAAAGTTCATCAGAACAATTACTATGAAAGTATTTATAGAAAAGGCAAAATGCTTCTTCTGATCTCTCTGTAAAGAGTTTTTATAGTACCTGTGTGCTATATAAAATGTATTACATGCACTATATATATATATATATATATATATGTAAGACCTGTGTATTTAGTATGGGGAACAAAATATGCAAGTTGTGTCAGGAGTAGAAGTTGGCAATGATGCATAGCGAAGAAAATGGCGACTTGCCTTGTCAAACCAAGCGACAGTGCAACAGAAAATGTGGCAAAAAAGAAAATTACTTACCAAACAAAAGGGCACATATTCAGCATGACATGCTGAAAATAGAATATTTGAATTAAAAAAAAAACAACAAACAAGTCCGTCGCAGGAGTCTCTATAAAGTATGTTGATATGCAAATTACGAACATCCTCTCCCAGCTGTCAACGAATTGAAAAGAAAACGTTCAGCTGATAAAAGCAGTTGGTGTTTTCCAATCGGGGGAAAAAAGTTGTCGATTTTGGCTGCCAAGAGAGTTATTTTTCTGACTGGTTGCGTGCATTGTGATTTGTGAAATAGTACTTGTGAATCGAGTTTTCGGCATTTTCTTTCTGTCCATGATGTTCGAGTCTGAACTTAGTGATTTATTCTCGGCGAAGTGGAAATAATCTGTGACAAACATTTCCTTTGCAATCCCAGATCGCTTACAGTATCCTGACCAACATAACCTGCTAAATGAAAGATCAGAGGTAATAATAGGTAGGAAGGTTTGGATTAATAACAATTTTTTTTCCTTCCTTCCTCTTTCCCTTTTTTCTTCTCCCTTTTGGCATTGATATATATATATATATATATATATATATATATATATATAAATGTCTTGGGATATAAAATACTTGCTGCCTGATGATACCAAATTGATGAAACCATAGTAGCAGGAAGGGTGGTTTTCTCATAAATTTTATCTTTTTTTGTTTTACCTATATTGATGTTTATTCCTACCATCCACAAAATGTCAACAATTAAATATTTTAAATTTATTTTTTACATTCATTCTCCAATAAGACCAACCAATAAGATATCTTTTCTTCTCAAAAATTTTAATCTATTAATTAAGAACCTGTTCAGGACAAAATTCAAAGTTTAGAAGCAAAGTTATAAGATCTATTGCAATTTCAGTATCTCTCATCTGTCCTTATCTTTTTAGTACCTGTTTCTTTCCACTTTACCTGAGATTTACCTGAGATACAGTTAGTTAATTTTATTTATTGTTCAAACTTTTAAATAAGAATTATTTTATTATTTTTTCAATTATTCAGTGTAATATTTCTTCTATTGTTTTTATTACAAATTTTATGCAAATTAAATTTAAATAAAATTAAATTTTATGCAAATTAATGCAAATTTTATGCAAATTAATGCAAATTTTATGCAAATTAAATTCATTCTACTTCTGTTTATTCCCCAGTTTAATAATGTTTTTTTCTTTCAATCTTTTTTTCATATGTAAATGAGTCATCTCATCACCTTCATTCATTATATCCATGTCTTTTCAGGATGTAGGTGATCATGGCTCTCCACCTCGTCCTCTAACCCTTGCAGCTCTCAACAAATTCCTTCTCTCTGCTACCTCTCCCAGACCACGCTCTGTCATCCACTTTCTTAAGCCTGCTAGGTATGTCATGCATTGTTTTCCCTTGGCTCTCTTTTCCTCTATTTGAACTGTGAGTATCAGATTCTCCAGGCCCTCCTTCCTCATTATGTGTCCCAGAAACCTCAGCTGCCTCTTCCTGATACATTGAAATAACAATTGGTAATGGTATTTCAAAACACAACAAAAGTTCTTTGAATCTCTTTCAAAATACAACAAATTATATATATATATTTGCATTAAACTTCCAATAGCAGGATATACAGTATCCTGACACTGGTTTGTAAGTTCAGAGAAGTGAATAGAACAGAAATTTGATGCAAGCAGTATTGTAAATCTTACAGATTATGTTTATATGTGAGAAAGGGGAAAAACATTATGTCTTCTTTAAATTTGTTAATATATTCTAAGAAGAGATTTGTGTGTGTACTACCTGCAATACACAACAAAAGTATTTTTTCAGAAATTGATTGCAGATCAACAGGCAGAGAAATTACAATTCAGCATGACTTCTTTCTATGAACTGCCTATATGAACTGTCTACAACAAACTCTGAAGACAAGCTGATGCTCACTAATTTTTTGTGCCTGTGGATATTTTTTTAGAGATATCACCTGGATGTAATAATGATGATGCACTAAGCAAAATTAATCTTAAATTTTGATGACTCTGTTTTTTGTTTGAAATCTAAACGCCTAGTTGTTGACAGTCTAAGAATTTTGTTTTTAAAATTTCCTGTCCAAATTGATATCTTAATTTTACTTTTAGTTTAAGGATATTTTTATGTTCCAACATGTTTATACCGATCAAGCAAAGTTAAATAGTGCCTTATAAATGCAAATCCTTCTCAGACTCTCAAAGCATTCATATCTGCTAAGTTTTGTATCCTAACTGTTGTAACTTAGGGAAGGTTACTGAATAGAATAATCAAACAAAGGTTGGTAATGAACAATAATACTTAGGACAAGAGCAACACATATAAGATTTGCCAGCAGTACATAGAAGAAATAGTCAACTGATAGAAGTGAGTCAAGTGAATTCCACAATGAATCTCAGACTGCAGTCCAACATACAATATTTACTACTGTATTTATGTTAATGGGGACATAACCATTATTGTCCTTAGGTATGCTACAGCATTAACATAAAGCAATTTTTAAAGAAGTGATAGATTTTTTATTTAATCTGACAGATTTTATTACTTAATAAGACTTTATAAGGCACTATTCAATTGTGCTTGATCAGTGATGTACTCCGTGGCTGAGTCGGTACAAGCACATTTACTCGAATGATGATTTTCTCTTGCTTAGGGAAAACGTAGGTTTAGATATTTTTATATGAATAGTATTTAAGTAAACATGATCCTGGTTGTTGGATTACTTATAGTGATAAGGTTGAACTTATCCAGTTATTCTATACATCATATCAACTCACTTTTATCAAAGTCTCTGAGTGAGGTGATTTACTCATTTGTGGATTTACTTATTTGTGAGAGGTTTAATGTTTTATTAAGTTATCCACTGATTTAAATCTCACTCTAACGCTCAGCTTATTCCTGGCCAATTTCATTTATTGTAACTAATTAACACCTTTAATTAGATTTTTTTAAGCAAATATTTCACATTAAATTAATTAACAATTTTCCTTCCCTGTTCCCTTATCTTCACATCTAAAAATAAAAATTACCACATCACTTGCCACTTAATTAACTAATTGCCTCAAACCTTTTTAGGTGGAAGGTTTCACACCTCAACAGGTAAGGGGTCACTCTTACCCAATTAAACATAATGTTAACATGAGTTATTGCTCTTGACCAAAAGACAAACTTGCTTTATTACAGGTTTGTCTTTTGGTTTTGAGCGGTAAGTTTGTTGGAGTTAGCTCCTCCTTAGCTAATTAACCCATCAACAGGGGTCTCTCTCCCCTGGCTATAAATACTAGCTGACCCTTCGCCTCAACCTCTTTTTCCTCAGGCTTTCAGCCTTACCACCTCGCAGATGTGAGCCCTTACAAGATACAGCATTTCCCAAATGCTGGGAATATGCTAAGAACGTTTCCCAAATGCTGGGAACATGCTAAGAACAATATACCTACGTACGAACACTCATCACAACACATACATATTGACCACACACACTCTGTCCATGTAACTTGTAACCTTTCTTGTTATTAATACATATATTTGTTTATATATATTTATCGGTCTTTTTGTTTGTTTTTCTTTGCCTTCTTTGGACTTAATTGAAGTCCAACTTTTTCATCTAGTTGGACTGGCTAGCAGGAAAATTTTAACCCACGTGTGTTTTACATACTCAACATCACTGCCATGGTCCCGCTACAAGTTCATTCAACTTTTTATGAGCTCAGATAAAAATATTTCCTTAGTAAAGACTTTAATTCCAGTCAAAGGGAAGTAACTCCTATTAATTATGCTTGTATATCATTGACATACATAAATATGAATATTGTTCTTGTTATAAAGACAGTTTTTCATCTTGTTTCTCTTGTTTGCTTTTCATTAGCTTACAGATTTGTAAGGTAAAAAAATGTACAGGTTAATTTAGGCCGTCTATACCATTACAATGCTTTTTAAATTTTCTTTTTACTTATTATTCACCAAATACAAGGCCCAAGAACCATTCAAGGTAGAGGGTTAAAGAAAGAAGTTGTTGTATAAACATAGGAGGATTTATTGATTTATTTATTTTCTATGGCTTAACCTATTGAAGCTTATTTGAAGCCAGAAAATATTTTTAAACTGTAAGAATTTTTTTTATATAATAATGGTTTAGTGATACAAGTCTTACTTATTAACCCATAACTGGGGGAGAAGAGGTGGATTCATGCATTTCTGAAAGGTATTTGACTATAATGAACCCAATGGAAATCGGAACTCAGCACTTAACAATTCTGAGCCATTATCCATTATACCACCCACACATCCAAGCTGACATCACCTGGTATTCACAGTCACCCATCTAAGTACTGACTAGACTCAATGTTGCTTAACTTCGGTGATTGTATAGGAACTGGTGTTTCAACATGTGACTGTAAGCCCTATAAGATGAGGAGGTAAGAAGTGCAGTTTATGAGGATATGTAAGAAAAATAATGGTTAACTCGAGACTTGAAGAGGTTAAGATTGTAGTGATCAGAGAAGCATCCCCTTGGGAGTGTGTTCCATGAACTAGCAGTTCTTAGGAAGTAGCTGTTCTAATAGAATTTCCTCCTTGCTAACGGAATATGAAGGAGATCAAGATGATTTGTCATTTGTACATAGCTTGGCTGGCCTTAACTGTGAACGTTGGATCTTGTGGAACTAAGGAATGTAGCCTGTCTGTACATTTGCTATGGATATAGCAATAGTGTCATGATAGGCTTGCAATGTTTCAACTCTGAGAAAGGAGTTGTAGAATGGAAAATAATTCATCATCCACAAGGCCATGTAGATGCTTTTGAATTCTTCAAAACTGCAAATAAGGCAGCAGTGAAGTCAGATACTTAATAGAATGGTACAAAGAACCAACCATTTTCTGAGGATCTTTACTGATGGATTGTATCTAATCTTGAGTTCCAGTAAACATTGAAGTCAAGAAGCCTCTTGATCATGTTAAGTGAATGTTTTCTTGTGAAAAGTATGATATGTATAGGAAGCTGCTCTAAATATTATTTTGACTACCTTAAGCTAGATAGAGGAAAATGTTCAGAAGTTGGTACAGCCTTGTGGAATTATAATTGAAGAATGCAAGTTGTCTTTGTATTATGAAGGAAAACTTGTTCTTGTTCAGGCAAGCATGATATCAAGTGTTTGTATTTTGTCCTGAAGTTCTTTGCAGGTATCTCAAAAACTTGTGATCTCTTTTTGCAACTTGTTGCTGTGGTTACTGGCTCTGCTGACTTACATATTTCCCTCACTAATCACTCATGAATATACTAGTGATTAAGCTGACTGACAGCTTTGTTTATATCTGTCCCAACTGACTCAATAAACTGTTTTTCAAAATTGTCTTAGGTTTCAAATTCCATCTGTTTGATTGGTTGGAAATAATCTTGAGAAAGAATTCTCTTCTTAAGCATTCTTTTTTTTGAAAATTCATTTTTTTTTTACCCTGCATTAAATATTGTATCACCACAAGCAGGCTCAGAAGCAAAGCCTTCATCTGAACACCACGTTGATTGGAAATGTCTTGCTTCTAGGTAGTAGAAAGAAATACAGCATGGAAATTCTGTATCCATTTAGAAAAAGTGTAATTCAATAGTACTGACTAGTATGAACACTAAACAAACAAGTGGGAATCAGTTAGCTGGGAATTAAAAAAATGGAGTCAAAACAAGTTCAATGGTTGGTAACTAAACCCTGGTCAGGTGAGGAGAGTATGTGGAAACCCAGAAGCATAAAAAACAAGAGCAGTTAAAGGGTGGATGAACTCTTCAGAGTCAATGGCCATCCACCCCAACTCTGGGTTTAATAGGTCAAGCATGTTGAGTACAGCTATACACATGAAGACAGGGTCAATCAGGGAGTGGCTCCTCCAACAGGAGTGAGTAGGCCCTAGATTTGGAATTAGTTCAAGCAATGGAGATGTGGTCCTACAGAAAGATGCTGAGGATATCGTGGACTGAGCATGTAAACAATGATGAGGTCTTAGAGAGGATGCAAGCAAGGAGGAGGCTTATACTTAACATCAGGAAGTGGCAGCTGAAGTTACTGGGGCACATAATGAGGAAGGAGGGCCTGGAGAATCTGATACTCATGAGTCGAATAGAGGGAAAGAGAGACAAGAGAAAACAATGCATGACATACCTGGGAGACTTAAGCAAGTGGATGACAGAATGTGGTCTGGGGGAGGTAGCAGAGGGAAGGAACTTGTTGAGAGCTGCAAGGGATAGAGGGAAGTGTGGAGAGCCATGATCGCTTACGCCCTGAAAGGACATGGCACATAAAAAGAAGAGAAATAATGAAGTTGAAAAAGCAGATGTAATGGAGATAGAACCAGCATTTCCAAACAGGTTGAAGAGCAAAACACCTAAAGTTTCAGTTCTTGTAAATGTAATTAAGCTTCCTAAATCTGAACACGTAACTTGTAATTTATCAAATGAAAAATATTAGAAAAGAATGGATGTTTTAAGCAGTTGATGTAAAGCAACAGGAAGAAACAAATTTATAATATTAAGTTGTAATGCTATATATTCACACACTCCTCCACTTGACACGATCAGAAACCACTTCCTTAGAAGACAACAGAGGGATGCATTGCTCCACCATCCCAAAAGGACATTAGGTGGTATATTTTGGAGCCTTTTAAATTCAATGTCAGATGGCTGTGACATTTTTGGTGACTATGGCAATTTCATACCTCTGAAGATGGTCAGAGTGTACTTGGCTGAAACTTTATGTCTATAATAACATAGATTAAAAGTAAGTTTCAATAAGTTGATGTTTAATGACAATCCAGTGTCTAAGAAATTATCAAAAGAGCAACAGTTCAGATGAATCAAAATATGAAGGATGCTCCAAAAGTAAAGAGGACAGTCTCTTATATCCCGACAAAAATTGTATGGGGTGAATTTTATTATTAAAAAAAGACTACCTGTGTTCACATCCCCTTTTTATTTTCTACAAATTTTCATTAAATGTTGATTAGTGGCAATGGGTGCAATTTTTCTACATGGTAGAATTCTGTGATACCCTTCTGCTTTGCGTGAATTTCATGTCAGACACTATTTTTCCAGATTTTCAATTAGCTGCTGTATGTAATTGTGGTTGTAAAGAAAAAGAAAAAAAAACTGTCAACTTATAGTAGCAATAAACATCTGCAATAGATTTCTTCTGTTTCTCGACCGCAACACATGTAGCCAAATCACAGTTCAAACGATAGATAGTCTGTCATAACAGTCCAACAGGCAATGTAGAAAACAACAAAATGGGGTCACACATCCAACCTTCCCTTCTCACCAGCAAAAACACATGTTTGTCCACCAAGCTCAGAAAATCCAAATCTGCCACATAAGCGAAAAACAATGGCTTTTGTTCACCAGGAGATCTTTCTGATTGGTCACGCCATTCAGGGGAGGAAAGAACATTAGCATAGAATCTGATCCTTAAAGTAGATTTTTATTAACTACTTTTTGGTAATTTTTCTTCGGCAGATTGCACACAAAACACAAACTCTTTTTTGAGGTAGCTGATTATCTCTTTCACTACAGTAATAAAGCAGAAAAAAATATGGGTTATTGGTGTGAAGGTGCAACTTCTATTGCTGTACCCAAACCTGTCAACATAATAAAGCATTACCCTCTGAGCAAACCTCATATATTAATTCTGTTTTTAATATGGCTATAAATTCCTTGGCAGACAAGCACCCCCACCTATAACCTGGCATAGCAGTCTTTCCACCAACCTTCTATCTGGCCTTGCTCAGCTGATTAAATATTATTCAACATTGAGTAATAATTAGTGAACTATTCTAGTAGAACATTACTACTGGGTACTCTAGACTTGTGACCTTGTGTCACACTAATCCAAGTTTAATAATACCTATAATTCTAAATCAGTTATTGCATAATTAAATGAGAAAATTTGGTAACATAGTAATTGTGAGTTCAATCCCTGGACTAGGCAGTACATACTAAGACTCAATGGGAACAGGGCAAACAATAATTGAGCAAGAGAGAAATAATAAGAACAACATGAAATATCCCTAGAACAAGAACAATATATTTGCATAGATTAAATAAAGAGTTCAGTTCACCTGATGAAGGCTGGAGAGCAAAATGGCTGAAACATTGTGATAATAACAACAAAGATAAGGATTATGGTCTGCTTATAAATTATGATAACTCCTCGTCTCAGAAATTCAGAGAGAAAAAATTTATATTTTTTCTTTCTCATTTATTTTCTATCCTTGTCCAGGCAGGATTTATTTTAGTTGCTTCTTCCTATTTAAAATTGACAATCCATTTAGTATTTTTTGGAGGAGACTAATTTCAGTGTAATTTCAGAATGGGGTCTGCTTACCCTCAGCACTTCTTTTGGTATTTACATACTTCTCCGTGCTGTGTGCATGTGTAATCTTATCATTGTATAGATTTTTTTCTTCTTAACAATAATTTTCACATTACACAAGGCCCAAGAGCCTCTTCAGGTAGAGGGTTACCAAGTAAGAAGCACAGTTATGGGAATATATGGGAAAGACAACAGTTTTCCCTAGACTTAAAGAAGTTAAGATTGTAGTGATCAGGGAAGCATCCTCTTGGGAGTCAGTTCCACAAAGCAGCAGTTCGTGGGAAGACACTGATCGAGTGAAACTTACATATCACTAATGGAATACGAAGCGAATGAGAGCTGTTCACTAAAATGTGCATGGCATGTTGGGTCTTAGCTGTGAGACTTAGAAATGGTGGAACAAAGGAATGTAGTTCATCTGAACATTTTCCATGCAAATGGCAATAGAGCAGCAAGAGGTTTGTGATGTTTTGCCTGTGAGAAAGTGTTTGTAGAGTGGAAAATTATTAATCACCCACAAGGACGTTGATACATTTTTGGACTAATAATAATAATAATAATAATAATGGACTAAATCTCTTATATGTAAAATTAATGTGTAATCATCTTTGAAATTTATCAATATCAATGATTGGGTTTATGGCTTTGGGTAGATTCTTTTTTTCACAAGGATGTAAGAGCTTCTCTCTGTCTTTCCCCTCTTGGGTAGGTGCTGTTATATCTTCCTGTTATTGATTGTCCAACATGTGCACATCCTAATTGCACTTGTGTTAACCACCTGTTTATATGTTGAGGCAACCATTGCCATCCTGTAAGTAATGAATCTGCATCTGGTGGCTAGGAGGTCATCTTTCAAGTCAACTCCTGACTTCTCTGATGCTCTGTTATGACATTGAGTGTAAAGTCTATTTTGGTATCATCTGTGGTGAGACCAATACATATTGAGGTCACCACAGATCAACTTCTCTTAAAGCAAAGGTTCTTTATTGACATTAAATTTGATCTGGTATTTCCTGGTCTGAATCACATACTACACA